ATGAGATCACTATTCTAATTCAAGGGAAATTGTTATCTCATAAAAATATACTATAATGAAGTCTAAAGTACAAAAAGGAATTGCCCACTGCCAGCTTATATTTGTTTTCATGGCTGGACTGAATTCAAGCAATTAACGGCCAAGGAAGGCCAAGTTGCATTTTCCCTAATAGGCAAAACACGCAGATACAAGTGCACTGCTTTTCACTCATTTGTTCACTTGGGGACAAACTGTAATCAGCAATGAATCGTGGTATAATTTTATTTCTTTTCCCTTCTATACAATGCAACTGCAGAACAGAAATAATCCAGCTTAAACCTAGCTTAAGATACCTTTGGCTGGGTTAGCCAGGCAAGTTGCTTCAGATTGAAGCTGAAAAAACTTGGATAGTTCAAAGTGGAGATCTTTCTCTTAGTTTATTATGAACCAAAGTACCTTTCCTTTCCTTTCCTTTCTTATTTATTTCTTATTTAATTTCTTATTCTTTCCAAGGTGGTTAAAAACACTCAAGATTTAACAGACAGACAAACATAAATAACGCATAAAACAAATTAGTAAAAACAACATGGTCCTTTCATATGGCAGGAGCAGCAGCTGAGACAACATACCCACTTGACAGGTGAAAGGCTTTGTCTCTCTCTTTCAACAGAAAAGATTATTTCTGAGAGTGGAAGAACTATCAGGGAAGGTTAAACAGACCTCTCTAGGCGTTTTGGAAGACCCTTCCAGGGGTCTTCATGCCATTGCCATGAAACCAAACATCCATTACCTCTCAGTCAACTTGGCTTTTTGCACCGTCTGTACTAGAAAATAGGAGGAATTTAGAAACATCTGTCTCTGGCACTCCAGAGATTACATGTCTGTCTTATGGCTCTGTCAGATAGTTGGCTGTGCTAATTGGGAATGATGGGTGTTATTATAGACTTATATGTTGTTATATGTTATAGGAAGTGTCAACAAGACGGGATGCACCCATGACTTTCTCCAGTGACTTTTTCAAATATCTGCCATATGTAATAATATAATACCTTCCATTAGAGTACATTATTGCATTACTTGGGTTAAATATACCAAATATACTCATTTAAATGTACCAAAAAGTTGGTGCTAAAGATTGTTCAAATGACCAACAATTGAATTAATCTCACAATTTGATAAAATAGTGGTCAAGATTTTGTAATCCAGACATCAAACAAAAACCTCCAGATGAAGGAACTGGATATAGAAAAGGCACTCAAATTAACTTTGCTAATTAGTAGTGGAAAATGGAAAAAGAAAGGAAGCTCCAAAAATAAGTCAATTGTGGAGTTTGGCCCCACCAATGTTGGGGGGGGGGTATTTCCTTGATTAATATTGTTTTTTTGCTTGTCTGGTATTAACTTAGCAGGGCAAATTACACTGGCAGAGAAAGCTGCTGTATATAAACAGAGCAAATCCCACACTCACTAGCACTGATGATGATGTTACTATTCAGTTGTGATGCTTCTGCAATCAAACAACCAAGCTCACCAAAGACTCTACAGTTCAACCCTGAGCTATATATATTATCTTCTATTGGAAGATGTCAATTGTTATTTTGTTGATCATACAAAAGCTTTTGGTTGTGTAGGCCACAACAAACCATGGATAACCCTCAAAAACAGGGGCACATTCTTGGTCACCTTATTTGCATACTGAAGAATTTGAAGAATAACTAGGAAGCAACAATTAAATACCGAATAGTTCAGAAGAAAGTCTGTGTCAAGACTGGATGTTGACAACTTACTTATTTAACTTATATGCAGAATATATTAGGAGAAATGCTGGAGTAGAATAAAGAAAAGTTGGCATTACGCTGCCAGAAAAATGTCAATAATCTCAAATATGTTAATGATAGCATTTTAATGGCTGGGCACAAGCAAGATTTATGGAATCTGTTGTTTGAGAAGAAAGAAGAGGGTGCAAAAACAGCCTGCTCAATAAAATAAAAAAACTAAGAATATGTCAACAAGCAATACATCCCAACGCAAACAGGCAGGAAAGAAAATGAAGTTGTTGTAGACTGTTCCTTTCTACTCTCAAAAATTCACCAGGATGATGACTATAGACATGAGATAAAGAAACATCTGGTACAAGAGAGAATGACTTTGACCAGTCAATACAAAATACTGAATCGCAGATACATCAAACTGCCAAACATGGTATGTATTGTCAAGACCATGGTTTTTTCAGTTGCAACATATGGCTGTGACAGGTGGGCTATCAAAAAGAAGAATGTATGCTTCTGAATTGCTGTGCTGGAGAAATTGTGGAGAATACCTTGGGCTATAAAAGGAACAAATAATTCAATAGGGGTGTCTCTGTGTGTGTGCCTTTGAGTCAGTTTTTGACTCCTGGCAACTAGTCCTATGCTTTTCCTGGCAAGATTTTCAGAAGTGGTTCACCATTGCCTCTTTCCTAGGGCTATGAGAGAGGAGCTGGCTCACGGTCACCCAAATGGCTTCATACCTAAAATGGGACTAAAATTTACAATCTCCAGGTGCCTGGTACCTTAACCAATACAGTAATCTAGTTCTCACAATTTGCTCCTCAAAGGACTAGTAATGAAGTTGAAGTTTAAACATTTTAGATATATAATGAAAGAAGACTCTGTAGCTTGTAAGTATCAAAGGCAATTGAAACAAGATAATTAAATATTATCACTGAGTTGATGATAATTGAGGAAGCATTTACTGAAAGATAATCTCAGAGATCTATGATGGGTAGCAAAGAATTAGAAATGATTGAGTGATTTAAAAATAACAAGAAACTTCATCAATGGCCTGAACTGTTCACTTATTCATACTAACAAGAGAAACAATTGTAACATTTCTCTTTTTGGTTAGCTGTTTTCCTCCCAACTTCTAAATTTTTGCTCTACCTTTTGCATTATTATTTTAGTGGGGCAGCTTTCTCAAGGCAAGGCATATGACCATTCAAAGTTACAATGACACTGAAAAAAGTGAATTATGATCATTTATTATATGACTGTTGCAACAGCCCCATATGGACATGTGATCAAAATTAGGATGCTTGGCAACTGGTATGTATTTATAATGATTACAGTGTCCCAGGGTGATCCCTTTTGTGGCCATCCGACAAGCAAAATCAATGGTGAGGCCAAATCCACTTAACAACCATGATACTAACTTGATAACTGCAGTGATTCGCTTAAAACAGTGGGAAGAAAGTTGATGTTGTAAAATGGGGCAAAACTCACTTAAAAATTGTATTGCTTAGTAACGGAAATTTTGGGTTCAATTGTGGTCATAAGGACAGCCTGTATTTATTCCCACACTGATCATTCCACAACATTAGAAGGATGATTGCCATTCTTAGACTCTTTTTGTTTTGAATCAGCGACTTGATTATTCAGACTCTATACTTGTCAAATGGGTGTGTGAACTAAACATAGGGATAGTACTGCAATTACACAATCCCTCCCCCCCTCCCTTCCTAAAGTTATACAAAAGTTTATATTTTACTTTCAAAACACTTCTTCCCAACTAATGCCCAGACCTAAGTTTACAAGTGAGGACTGCTTGGAATGTATTTTTCATTGGCGGAGCCAATGTTAGTGACATCAGCCAAAGCACTTTTGATTGGTTAGCTGGTTGCTGGGACTATAAGGGCTTTCGGTGAAGCAGTTAACCCGATTTCTGCCGGAAAACCAAACTTGAGAGTCCTGCCTAGCTGAACGCGCGGCAATTTGTCCCGGAGTCAAAAGATGCGAGCTGGAGTTGAGGCTGATGGGTCCCCGCACGCCGGACATCCGAGGCCCCGCCTGAAGAGCCGTTCGGAGGCGGCAGGCGCTCTCCTCCGCGCTTCCCAGCCTCTGTGTCGCCGGGAGAAACTCTCCCGCCTTTCCCTTCGTTGCCCTTTTAAGTGGGGGCTTAACAAGGCGTCGAGAGTAGCACGAGGCACCGGGAGGAGAGCTTCGGATTGGCCGAGGTCCCCGTCTGTAGACACACCCCCTCATGCAAAAAGGGACCTTCTGAGTGGAAGGAGGAGAAGGTAAACAGAGTTGAATCACTCTCCCGGCTGACCAATTGGGGGTACAGGGGCGGAGGGGGGGGGGACTCGCTGGAAGAACCTTTTGCGTGATGGGCTTCTGCGAAATCGGTCCTGAGCAGGGCTGTGCTGGAACATTGAGGAGCCGTAGGCGAGGGGGGAGTGAGTCAGGCAGTGGGCAGACCCAGCCTCAGTCGCTGCTGCTGCTGCTGCTGCGTAGAGTCCTCACGCTCGGGCTGCTGTTTCAGCACCGCGCCTTCTGAGGAGTGTGTGAATGCGCTGGAAAGCCTCGCGAAGCGGGGGCGGAGAAGCAAACGCAGCGGCGGCGGCGGCGGCTCGGGTGCGAGGACTGCTGAGCTCTTCCCGAGCTCCTTCCGATTTTCTTCTGCTTTCCGTCCCCCCGCGGGGTGGGGAAGAGGAGGAGGAGGAGGCGGAGGAGGAGAAGGAGAGGAACAGGGAAAAACTCCCTGCTGGTGCTACTTGGATTACTTGAAACCACCACTCGTGACCCTGTTTTCCGAAGAAGGGAGCCTTATCACAGCCTAGCCTCTGAAGCGGGGACGTCCGGGAGCGCACGACCCACGCGCGACGCCTCGCCGATCCGGAGTTCTGCGGAGAGGGGGCGCGGGAAACGACGACGGCCGAGGTCAAGAGGTAGGCTGGACGGTGCTTCTCCTGGCTGGGAATCCCAGACGGTCGTGGTTATGTAAACGCCGAGCCCCCCGGCAGTGGATCCCTCCCGGCTGCAACCGGCACCCCACCCCGCCCCACCTCCAGCCGCGATCCTCAGCCTGAAGGAAGGCGACCAGCCGCCCGGCGCTCGACACACCTACCCAGCCGGCCCTCGGAGGGCGAGAGGGCGGCGGCGGCCCCAGGCAGGCAGCGCGGAGGAAGTTTTGCTCCGGGGCCCTCGCCCTGCCCCTCCCCCTCTTAAATTATTATTACCTCGGGGACCGACGGTCGCCTGCAAGATGTCCGCGGTGGCCTACATGGACTTCGTGGCTGCCCAGTGCTTGGTCTCCATTTCCAACCGCTCCGTGGCCCAGCCGGACGTGACCTGCGAAGCCGACGAGGTCCTGAAGATGCCCGAGGAGGAGGAAGCCGCCGCCGCCGCTGCCGCCGTCGTGACCAAGGAAATGAACGACCCCCGCGACGCCTGGAAGGATTATTGCACGTTGGTGACCATCGCCAAGAGCTTGCTGGACTTGAACAAATACAGACCCCTCCCCGCCCCTTCTTCCATCTGCAGCGACAGCGTGGAGAGCCCCGACGAGGACATCGGCTCCGACAGCGACGTGACCACCGAATCGGGCTCCAGCCCTTCCCACAGCCCGGCCGAGGGCCAGGAGGCTGCCCGCGGGGCCGGCGCCTTGGCGCTCCTGCACGGCGGAGGGCCGGCCAAAGGGAAGCTGGCCGCCGAAAAGAGACACAAGTGCCCCTACAGCGGCTGTGGCAAAGTGTACGGCAAGTCCTCCCACCTCAAAGCCCACTACCGAGTGCACACAGGTGAGCCGCGGCACTCTCGCCCGCGGGGGGGTGGGGTGGGGTGGGGGGGCGGGGTGGGGTGGATGGGCGCCGGCGGGCGGGGACGGCCCGCGAGTCGGACCTGTTTGCAAAAGGCGAGGATTAGTACTAGGAAGGGGAGCCGGGCGTGAGCTCTTTTCCCGCGGCAGCCGCTGGCTTTCCCTCCCCCTCCTTCAAGTATGTCGGTTGTCCTCAGTTGAACTCGCCTTAAAATGCCGCGGTTGCCTTAGCGCCGCTCTTGCCTGCCTGCCTGCCTGCCTGCCTGCCCGCGCCCTGCCCAGCCTTCTCTCCTCCTGGAGCCCGCTCTGGTGCAGGGCTGCATGCATTTGGGCACAGGGGTGTTAACTGCAAATGACACGTCAAAACGCCGAGGATGGATGGATGGAGGAGCTGAGGGTGTTGGAGTGGATGACACCCTCCCGGAATCTTTCCTGTCCTCCCCTGTTCTGTAGTGATGGCTTACACTGAGTAGATGGCGCCAGTAGAGGAGCTGTTCCCTTCAGAAGTCTTCATCTCAAATCTATAAAGGGTGTTGGAGGAGGGTCAGCCGGGGAAAGGGGCTGCGTGGGTGAAGTTAATAGGGTTTTTCTCCTATATTTTATGATTAGGGTTGCCAGGTGTCCACTATTTGAGTGGACAGTCCGCTTTTTTCGCATTATGTTCACTATTTTTTTCCACAAAATAGTGGACATTTTTTTTATTCAAAAGCTTTATGATGAAATGGTACGTAATCTAAAGCTGTACAGTCTACTTCTTTTACTACTTAACCGCCCCCCCCCCGGCTTGTCTGCTATTTTTGGGAAGCAGACCTGGCAACCCTATTTATGATTGCATGATAATCCTCCCTTTAACTTTTTCTCATATCGAGCGTGGCAATACTGGGTTCGAATTCTTATGAAATTCTAGACCGGGAGCCAACTTCATGTTTTCCTTTCCCTAGAATAGACTTTTGAATGCTAGGCCTGGCTCAGCTTCTTTGGGACCTCTGGATTCCATAAACTCCACCTGGGCATGGACGGGCGGGCTTGGTGGCTGTCGTGGATTGATGACGTCTTTTTTTCAAATTCTCACGTGAGGTCTCCCACGTGGGCGCTCCTTGGCTTTCATCGCCTTGGGGTGTAAACACAAGGGAGCGGGAAAGAATAATGGCAGCAAAAGCAGAAGGCCCTGAGGTCCATGCTTTGGGACGGTTTTGTTTAAGGATGTCCAAATGCATGCGGTACACATGACCGCCATCTATAAGAGAAATTTGTTATTTTCATTTAGTCTTCAGTAATATGGCAGCTGTCTTCATTTGAGCCACTTGCGTCATGTGTTGCCTAATTGCCTTCTTTTGTAGGCTTTGAACTTGTTGAGTGCATCATCAGTAAGTTGCTTCTTCTGAGGGTACGTTTGCTTATTCTTGGTTCAAACCCCAGCCAATTATAATGGATCATAATTCTCTGTTTTTTAGTACATCTGGCACTGTCTTGCAGGCACCGGAAAGTGCATTCCTAGCACTTGGAGAATATGTTTAAAGATAAACGCTGATTAGGATATTTAAAGTGAGCTTCTTTGAAAGACGAAATGATTGGGAGAAATGAATGCCATCTTTTCCACCAAAGCACATTGTACCCAGTTGTACGTACGTGGGTGTGTTGGCAGCATCTGTGATCAAACATGAGGTGGTTAGTAAGCTTTGAAGATGACACGTGGGGCTACATATATTTATGGTGCCTCATTGACAAAACACACATCGCAACTTTAGCCTGTCTTTTTGTTGGTCATGTGATTATAAAGTGGTGTTCCATTTCCAACACAAGGAGCCTGGTCTTGGGGTGCTCATATCGTATGTTATTTGGGGTTTCCTTTGGCAGGGAAGAAAAACAATCTAGGCAATAGTTGTATGGTGTGATAAGAGCACAAGCAACGTGGTGAGGAATTTCAATACCATCTTGGGAAATAAGCAGCTTTCCCTCGGTTTGTGAATGTGTGTTTTTCTATTTGTGTTATGTTCCCGTTATTTGAAAACCAGACAGAGTAGCAAGACTCAATGTTGCAAGTTGCTCCCTGATCCAAATGATCTGTGAAACGATTTTTCGCGACCTCGTCTAAGTCATGTGAGTTAGGAGCTGAAGGAAAACGGTTGGATAGTATAAGAATGGATTTGATTTCTTTCTTATGATGAATATGTGATGCTTATAAGGCTTAAAGTGCCTTGTGTGAAGATGGGATAATTGCTGGAGAAGCAAAACGGAAGTCTCTAATCCTTAGCATTTTTCTTATAGATTATTTTCCCCTGCCATATATTTAAAAAAATTTGACTTGAAGAGGAATAAATCTTCATTATAGGAAACCGGTCATGGTACTATTGATGCCCACATTAGGTGCATTTAATGTTTACCTAAGAGAGAGTGTCAAACTGGATTTGGCCGAATTTCTATGGTAAAGTATTCCTGGATGATGTGTGACCTCCCTGGGAGAGAATCTCAACCTATTTTCCTGTTCACACAACGGGCACCGTAGACTGCAGAATGGAAAATGCACAGGAAAAGGAGTGTCGTGTGTCATTCAGCAGTGATTCCTGTGGTTAAAACCCATAACACAGGAAGGAAAGAAAATATGAGCATCAGCTTTTTTTCTGTAGCATGGCAGAAATACCAAATAATTTATAAAGTGAGAGAGGTCAATTGCTGAGAATGCCCCAGTAGTATCCTACACATAGGAAATGCCAATCATTTTCTGATCATTCTAATGAAGCAAGTCCTTACATTTGTTTCTTCCTAAGACTAAGGGTAGGACTTCAAAAAAGGAAAAGGAAGCCACATGTCACAATTCTCAGCTAACCTGAAAGTCTACACCAGTGGTTCTCAACCTGTGGGTCGGGACCCCATTTGGGGTCAATCAACCATTTCATGGGGGTCGCCAAGCAAGGCTGCCCGCCATTTTTTTTGTCCGCCATTTTTTTCCCCTTTTCCAGTGGGTGCCTTACCTCCCTTGGGCTGGGCCAGCTGGTGGTCGGCCTGCTCCGTCTCTGCCGCTTGCCAGCTACGCCTCGGCCGGCGCAGGGGGCGGAACCACACATGCACGGCGCTCCCGGGCAGGTAAAGTCCTCGACTTACGACCGGTTGGGTAGTCCTCGACTTACGACCGGTTTAGTCCTCGACTTACAACCGGTTTAGTCCTCGACTTATGATCGGATTAGTCCTCAACTTACGATCGGATTAGTCCTCAACTTACGACTGGTTGGGGTCGCGGCATTAAAAAGGTTGAGAACCACTGGTCTACACTGTAGAAATCCATTTAAATTTCCCTTTTCCTACCATTGGTTATTCTGAGAATTGTGACTGACAGTGACCATTCTACAAATTAGTAGTATTTTCATTATTTATTGACCTTCCATGTTTTCCTACGCTTGAAATTCAAGGCTTTTCCATCAAGAAGCTAGTTCAGAGAACAGCAAACTATTTACTATCAACTAAAGGACAGAGAAACTTGGGATGGAAATTAATAAATCTCTATTTTGCTTCGAGGATGTATTGCATCACTGAGTTATTTGCAAGAAACAGGTTTATAATTTGATAGAAACATTAGTGCTTCGTTTCTGAAATACTAATTCCCATGGCTATCAAATTCCAATCGTCATACGTAGGAATCAGAATTAATGTTACTTGTAGGGAAAATATAATTCAATGATATACACAAGACAATCCTCCTTTAGCAACCGCAATTGGAACTGGCGACTTGGTCATTAAGCGAAACTGCACATATGCTCAACTTTTTCCTTTAGTTTTCAGGTCTATGCTTTACAGACCTATGAAGGTTGTAAATGTGAGGACTGGCCATAAAGTTACTTTTTCATCACCAGCGTAATTGTGAATGGTCACTAAATGAGGACTGTTTGTAAATAGATCACTATGATGGATCTCAACTAGTTGCTAAATTGAAATTCCAACATTCCTTATCATTGGCTCTGCTGATTAGGACTATTATAACCACATCTGAAGTGCCCTTAGACTAAGATATAGGATGATATGGCTGAAGCAAATATACACCTGAATATAGCAAGCAGACTGAGAACCCATTTCTCACTTGTACATCTCCCTGGAGGCATTTTTTTTTTGGGGGGGGGGGCTGTTCTCTTCTCTCTAATACTTTGTACCTTTTTAGTGTTTTCTTCATTGATATTATTAAAACCATATTTTCCCTTGGCTAAACTAAGTAATATGAGGATTATTGTGATGGTTTTGGCACTATCCACATGGCCTCCAGAAGCGTGGAGACTCCAAATTTATATTGCACCAACAATGCATGTGAGTTGTGCTGAATGTTTTCATGTAGGTTGTGGAAGAGATGGGATGTGAAACAGACAAGTGCTTTGCTTTCTAAGCCTGACCATAAAGAATTAAACACAATCCTCAAGCTCTATTTTTCTTGCAGAGTTTTTAGAGGCAATGTAAAAAGTATGTTTTTTAAAGCCACGTGGGACAATTACAAAAAATAGAGCATGGCTTACCATGTGTGCATGGGAATCTCCATATGGGGGCTGGGTATTAGTAAATTATTTACTTTAATTGCACTCTAGTCCTAACTCCATGGCACTGGGTTGTCCCATATTATGGTCCCAACATTTTACTCACGGAGGGATATACATGATATGACTGGATGGATCACAGTATAACCTGGTAGATGCAATGATTACATGAGATAACTAGCAGGTCAGGAAACATTTCCTTTGGAAAAAATAAAAAAACAATCTCTATCATTAATTCAGGCATTATTACTCTCTGGCCCTATTTGACTCTAGTGTTGATAATGTATAAGTCCTGATTTCAGTTTATTATTCATGTAAGCAATTTTTGTATTGCCTACTGCCTCGGAGTTCCATAAAACCAACTAAAATGTACCTTACCTTGATGTTTTGAAGAAAATGTTTCTTCACATGAAATAGAGCACTAATGCAGTCCAGCCTAAGAAGGAAAAAGCCCACTGTGAAAAGGAAG